TTTTGTGATTAATCACTATGCTTTAATTATGTTCAATTTGTAACAATGAAATTGGGGGTCACCACAACATGAGGAACTGTATTAAAGGGTCGCAGCATTAGGAAGGTTGAGAACCACTGACCTAGAGGGATCCTCTCAGACCTCCGTGGGCAAACTTGTCCATTGGAGAGAAAATGGATTTGCAAAAGGAACCCAGGGATTTCTGGGAAAGAAGAAATTGAACTCTTCCAACCCATCTCCCTGTTATTCAAAATTAGGATAGATCATGATGGTCAGTGGCAGGAAAAGGTTTAATTGGACTTTTGACACTGAAGAGGGGTGTCCAGAATCCTAGTGTTAGCAAGGAAGGGGGCTGTTTGTCTACGGAGATTGCACGGGAGCAAGTTTTAACAGTGCCTCCTTGTGGCAGCATGAAGCAAGAACTATGCTAGGTTGATTCTGCCACACATCTGCCAGGAACTGGTGGGACCAATCCACCCACTGCTGACCCTCTCTGTGCCTCAGTTTCTCCCATCCTAAAATTGGAATGACACACATTCACTCGCTTCCCCTCTCATGGAGTTCTTCTGACCATAACATTGTAAACATCCACCGGCCAGAGTGTAAATGCCAATCCATCCCTCTCATGGCATCACGGGCAGCCATTAAAAAGAATACGCTGGATGGATAGCTTAATTGGTTAGAGTATCACCCCTATAGGCCAAGGTTGTGGGTTTGATCCCGGGTGAGGGCACAGACAAGAGTCAACAAATTAATGCATAAATAAGTGGAACAACAAATCAATGGTTCTCTCTCCCTTCCTCTTAAGATCATTGATTTATTGATCTGAAAGGGTGATAATGAGATACAACTAAGGAAAGTTGATGTCCTGTGGTTTTTTTGTGTGTTTTTTTACCGCTTTATTGAAGTATACTTGATACAACAAAAAAACTGCACATATTCATTGTATATAATTTAGTGAGTTTGGCTACATGCTTACACCAGTGATACCATGACCAGTCAAGGTAACAGACATATCCATCACCTCCAAGTTTCCTGCATCCCTTTGCATATTTTTGCATCTATAATAATAAAAGCGTAATATGCTAATTAGACTGGACAGCCGAACGACCTTCTGATGTCATTCCGGACGTCTTTCAGGACGAAGCCACAGCACTGGGCAGAGGCGGTTAGGGGCAATCAGGCAGGCAGGCAGGCAGAGTGGTTAGGGGCAATCAGGTAGGTAGGCAAGCGATTAGGGGCAATCAGGCAGGCAGGCAGTCAGACATCCCTCTCACAATCCGGAACCGCTGCCTGCCTGATGCGCCTAACTGTTCGCCTGCCTGCCTGATTACCCCTAAACCGGCAATCAGACATTCCCCAAGGGGTCCTGGATTGTGAGAGGGTGCAGGCCAGGCTGAGGGACCCTCCTTACCCCCATGCACGAATTTTGTGCACCGGGCCACTAGTATGTGATAAGAACACTTGACAGTTACCCTCTTAACAAATTTGTATTGTTAAGTATGGGCTCTGTTTCTAGAACTTACTCATCTTATATCACAGTGACTTCAGTGGATGTCCTGCTTTTGTAAAAGTAAATAAGCACGCTTATCAATACACATGTGGATGTGTACATTGGTTTCTCAGAATGTAAAGAAAGTGCACATCCCATGCGGAAGGTTCCATGTCATGCTATTGACCATGAATACCTTCAGGTGGGTGAGAGGTGAAGTGAAATGGCACAGGAAATTACTGATTTCTTTCCTAATATTGTGGCCTTGGAAAGAGAACCTATGTTACTTTTGGGTTCACTATTGTTGCAGCAAAAGGATATAGTGAGCAACAGGAAAGAGAGAAAATGTAAAGAGTGATCAGAT